TGAATTTTTTTAATATTTTGAGCAATTTTTTTAATTTTTGGACATACCTAAAATAAATATACCTAAAAAGTAAAAAAAAAAAATTGAAAAAAACCTTTTAAAAATTCACTAAATACCAAAAATATATATAAAAAAAAACGAGAATTCAGTACATTTTTTATATTTTTATGCATTTATTAATTTTTAAAAATATTTTTCACAAATTTTTTTACTTTTTAGATACATCTAAGTAAGGTGCATCTAAAAACGTAAAAAAAAAATGTTTAAAATTTTAAAAATATTTACTAAAAACAAAAAAACACGAAAACAAAAAAACTCAGTTTTCAAAAAACTTAATTCAAAAAACTCAAACCAATTCAGAAAAAAATTTGGAAAAAATTCTCTGCAAACAAATTTTCAAGAGTAATCAAACCAAACAAATTTTTTAAAAAAAAATCTCAAAATTTTGTTTGATTACCTATTTTTCAAAATCACTCTCTCTCTTATACACATCAAAATCAATCACTTTTTTTAAAACTCTCTTCCCAAAACAATTTTTCAAAATCATTTCTGAAAAAAAAATAAACTAAACAAATTTTCATACTTTTTATCTAAAAAATTACTTTACAAACACAAACCAAACACACTTTTTTTTCAACTCGCGCGAAATATGCCCTGTATACAGCTCACAAATTAAACACACACTGTTAATTGTGTGTATGACGTATTAGGAAAAAGTTAATGATGCGGTGTTCCTCATGTGATTCGAGCAAGGATCCCCATAATTTTTCTTTTAAATTTTTTTTTAAAGTGGTGTGTTGTATGGTTGAGATTTAATGACAAGTCACATTAATTTTTTAACATTAAATCTCACTCATACAATACACCACTTTAAAATACTTTAGAAAAAAAAAAATTCTAAATGATCCTTGGTGATATGGTTCATCCTGGGCAACTTGATTAGCACATATTTTATTTTTGATGTTTTATGACTAAATAATTTGAATTGCTCATTTTTAGTCACAGTGTAAGAGTTATATTTAAAAAAATTAACTTAATTGATTTAATTATTATATAACTCATCATTTTATTAATTTACTTTAACAAACAATAGATGATTTTTTATTTTAATTATATTATCATCAGAGGTGGCTCAATTATTAAGACACAGGTTAATAAAAAAAAATTAAATTTTTTTTATTGTGGAAAATTTCTACTTTTCATAAGATCTCATTTTAATGTTTAATTAAAGACCTTCAAAAATCTTAAGCCAATATTGAGCTCGTTTGGGAAGTTGAGGTTTGAGATTTTTTAACTAAAATAGTCATAAAAAAAATAAATTTTTTAGCCCAATAAGATAAAATATCGCATCAAACCCATAATTATTACATTCATTTTCTTATAAAAAGTCAAAAAAATCAAAAAGTCATTTTCAAACGAAGTTTTTTAGTCTCAAGCTAAAATAATCAAAAAGTCAATCCACTTCCTAAACGAACCCATTGTTTGTCATCATATTTTTTAAGACAAATTATGTAATCATGTGACTATATTTGTTAAATTAATCTGACTACTTTATTTGGTAATTTACATGGATCAATCTGAACATAAAAGATGTGCAAAGTAATGTTGGTAATAACCGCCACGGACCAAATTAGACCATTCAGTCTATTTTTGGGACAAAGATTGGAAAGAAGAATATTCGTCCCATTAGTAATAACGAAATAATATATATTACCCTAAGAAAAGTGTAGATACAATTTTTGTTTAATTTGAAAAAAAAAAAAGAAGTTAACTTTAATTTGAACCCATAAAATAAATAATCAAAAACAAATTTTATATTTTAATTCATTTTAGGCCGTCAAATAATGAAAATTCAAATAAACTATGTTTGAAGGATTGACTTTTTAATTAAAATATAAAAAAAAATCAAAATAATCAATCCCATCACACTCTTTATTTTTTTGGAGAATGCACTAATAAATCTCAAATTAATAATTTATACACTGTTTAGTCTTAAAATTTTTTTTATAGACTGAAAGGTCCCATTACAATGTTTCAAACATCATATTAATGTTTCGAACATTAGGATATGCTTAGAAAATTGATTTGGTATTCCCTTTTGCTAACATTTTTTTTATTAATGTGCATGTTAATTTTAGGTTTTTATTTTTCTTTCTAAGCCCAAGCTTGAGCATGAACTTTTAAGTTGGACTTGAACTCAGCTAGACCTCTAACTCAACTAATTTTTTATTTTCAGAAAGCCCAGAACACTTGAAAATTCGGCTAATTTGCAGCCTTACTAGAGAATGGAAGCAACAAGAGGTAAATAAAGATGTTATATTAGACTTTCTTGAGTCCATAATACTAATCAGCATGGTTGGCTATTATTTTTCAAAAATACTTTTCAGAAAATTCTACTTCTTATTTTTCGTGTTTTTTTGTTTTTACTTAATTTTTTTAATATTTTGAGCAATTTTTTTAATTTTTAGACATGCCTAAAATAAATATACCTAAAAAGTAAAAAAAAATTGAAAAAAACCTTTTAAAAATTCACTAAATACCAAAAATATATATATATATATAAAACGAGAATTCAGTACATTTTTTATATTTTTATGCATTTATTAATTTTTAAAAATATTTTTCACAATTTTTTTTACTTTTTAGATACATCTAAGTAAGGTGCATCTAAAAACGTAAAAAAAAATGTTTAAAATTTTAAAAATATTTACTAAAAACAAAAAAATACGAAAACAAAAAAACTCAGTTTTCAAAAAACTTAATTCAAAAAACTCAAACCAATTCAAAAAAAAATTTGGAAAAAATTCTCTGCAAACAAATTTTCAAGAGTAATCAAACCAAACAAATTTTTAAAAAAAAAATCTCAAAATTTTGTTTGGTTACTTATTTTTCAAAATCACTCTTTCTCTTATACACATCAAATCAATCGCTTTTTTTAAAACTCTCTTCCCAAAACAATTTTTCAAAATCATTTCTGAAAAAAAAAAAAAACTAAACAAATTTTCATATTTTTTATCTAAAAAACTACTTTACAAACACAAACCAAGCACACTTTTTTTCAACTCGCGTGAAATATGCCCTGTATACAGCTCACAAATTAAACACACACTGTTAATTGTGTGTATGACGTATTAGGAAAAGTTAATGACTCCTCATGTGATTCGAGCCAAGATCCCTAGAATTTTTCTTTTAAAAAATTTCTTAAAGTGGTGTATTGTATGGTTGAGATTTAATGACAAGTCCACATTAATTTTTTAACATTAAATCTCACTCATACAATACACCACTTTAAAATACTTTAGAAAAAAAAAAAAACTTTAGATGATCCTTGGTGATATGATTCATCCTGGGCAACTTGATTAGCACATATTTTATTTTTGGTGTTTTATGACTAAGTAATTTGAATTGCTTATTTTTAGTCACAGTGTAAGAGTTATATTTAAAAAAATTAATTTAATTGATTTAATTATTCTATAACTCATCATTTTATTAATTTACTTTAACAAAGAATAGATGATTTTTTATTTTAATTATATTATCATCAGAGGTGGCTCAATTATTAAGACACAGGCTAATAAAAAAAATTAAATTTTTTTATTGTGGAAAATTTCTACTTTTCATAAGATCTCATTTTAATGTTTAATTAAAGACCTTCAAAAATCTTAAGCCAGTATTGAGCTCGTTTGGGAAGATGAGGTTTGGGATTTTTTAACTAAAATAGTCATAAAAAAAAAAGATTTTTTAGTCTAATAAGATAAAATATGGCATCAAACCCATAATTATTACATTCATTTTCTTATAAAAAGTCAAAAAAATTAAAAAGTCATTTTCAAACGAAATTTTTTAGTCTCAAACTAAAATAATCAAAAAGTCAATTCACTTCCTAAACAAACCCATTGTTTGTCATCATATTTTTTATGACAAATTATAAAATCATGTGACTATATTTGTTAAATTAATCTGACTACTTTATTTGGTAATTTACATGGATCAATCTGAACATAAAAGATGTGCAAAGTAATGTTGATAATAACCGCCACGGACCAAATTAGACCATTCAGTCTATTTTTGGGACAAAGATTGGAAAGAAGAATATTCGTCCCATTAGTAATAACGAAATAATATATATTACCCTAAGAAAAGTGTAGATACAATTTTTGTTTAATTTGGAAAAAAAAAAGAAGTTAACTTTAATTTGAATCCATAAAATAAATAATCAAAAACAAATTTTATATTTTAATTCATTTTAGGCCGTCAAATAATGAAAATTCAAATAAACTATGTTTGAGGGATTGACTTTTTAATTAAAATATAAAAAAAAAAATCAAAATAATCAATCCCATCATACTCTTTATTTTTTTTATATAACTTCTTATAAAAAATTAATTAAGGCCAAGTTTGGCATGATTGAAAAAAGACAAAAAGTCAAAAAGTCACTATCCTATTTAAGTCACATCATCTTATTTAAGTCACATCACCTCTCTAACACATCACTTCAAATCCAACCCAAATCCAACCCAAATCTAATCCATATTTCATAAAAAGTCAAAAAGTGCACTTATTTAGTCTTCCCAAACTAGGCCTAAATAATTACTTCCCAAACACCTTCTAATATTAGACTGATTGAAAAAAAAAAAAAAAAAAAAAGCATGGTTTTACGAATAAAAAAGGCATCAAAGATTTACACATTTTAAACTTTTTACAAGGAAAAAAGGCACGTGTCATATAGGAGGGTGGTGACTCACTGCAGTGTTTTTTTGTTTTTCTCATTTCGTCACGGTTCATGCACTTGTCTCAGAGCTTCGCTGGCTTTACGACCCGAGACTTTCGGATAAGGTCGGCCGCTCGATAAGATCTGTTACTCTTTATACGTGGCACTCTCCTAACGGTGATTAACCCAACTGGGTCCCACTCTCACACAGTAAGACAATGACCAACGTGCTTATCTCTCTCCTCCGCTCTGCCTATATAAACCCCCCATCGCTCTGAAGTTTAAAAAAAAAAAAAAAAGAGAGGAAATAAAATTTAGAAAATTCATTTCTCTCTCTCTCTCTCTCTCTCTCCGCCTCATTTTCTCTCTCTAAATCTCACTCTCTCTCCCTAGAAATCATCTCCAAAAAAAAATGGGAGTTGCAGAAACCGACCTGCTTTCCCAGCTGAGCTTGCCCCCGGGTTTCCGGTTTTACCCGACTGATGAAGAGCTTCTGGTTCAGTATCTTTGCAGGAAAGTTGCAGGGTACCACTTCTCTCTCCAGATCATTGCAGAGATCGACTTGTACAAATTCGATCCATGGGTTTTACCCAGTAAGTTCTCTATCCCAATTTGCATATATGTAATTTCTTAAAAATATTTGGTGTTTGAATTGTTCTAATTTTGATGGGTTTTGGTGTTTGGTTACAGGCAAAGCCATTTTCGGAGAGAAAGAATGGTATTTTTTTAGTCCACGAGATAGGAAGTACCCAAACGGGTCGAGACCGAATCGGGTTGCTGGATCAGGGTATTGGAAAGCCACTGGAACTGATAAGATTATAACTAACGAGGGACGAAGAGTTGGTATCAAGAAAGCTCTGGTTTTTTACGTAGGCAAAGCTCCGAAAGGAACAAAGACCAATTGGATCATGCATGAATATAGACTCTCCGAACCTCCCAAGAAAAATGGAAGCGCAAAGGTATCAAGACCGTTCACTCACTGCAATTTCTAGATTAAAATTAAATTTCTCGATTTTGATTATGTTTTGCTGATTCATTGGTGTGTTATGTGTTTCAGTTGGATGATTGGGTTCTGTGTCGGATCTACAAAAAAAACTCGAGTGCTCAAAAACCCATTTCAGGGGTTTCAAGCAAAGAACTTAGTCATGGTTCTTCGTCTTCATCATCGTCTCAATTCGACGACATGTTAGAGTCTTTGCCGGAGATCAACGACCGGTGCTTCACTTTGCCGCGAATGAATTCTCTGAAAACCATTCAACAAGATGAGAAATTCAATATTCAGAACTTAACTTCAGGGAATTTCGACTGGGCAAGTCTCGCCGGAGCCGTCACTTCCCTGCCGGAGCTAGTTCCCGGCGGCCAATCTCAGGCTCAAACTCAAGCTCAGGGACATTTGGGCAATAACAACAATATGTATAATGACATGTATGTCCCTTCAATCCCACCCCTCTCCCGCGTGGACTCGCCATGCGAGAGGTTCGGTGCATCTGTAGAGGAAGAGGTTCAGAGCGGACTCAGAACTCAGCACCGATTTGAGAACTCGGGGTTCTTCCAGCAGAACTCGAACGGGTTCGCTCAAAGTTTCAGTAATTCGCCTGACCCGTTCGGTATTCGGTACCCGACCCAGCAAGGAGGATTTAGGCTTCGACAGTAAAATTAAAAAAATTTGGGGGCATTTGTGTAAATATACGGAATTCTTTGGGGGCACCCTCTAGGAAACTGTAAAATACACCCACTAAATTTTTCTCGAGCATTCTTCATTGAATACAATAATTATATTGTATCTGATAAGTTATTAGGTACATACAAGAAGGGGGTGTGGAGAGAAATTTTGTGAGTGTCCATAAGAGGTAAGTAAAAGTTGGGTGTGGGATTTAAGGGTGGGCATGGAACGCCAGAGAAGGGGCAAATGTATAACTCATTTTGATCTGGCTATTGGCATGTATTCAATGTACACAATTTACAGTTTAATTTTTAAATTGGTTAGAATTTACTTCCCACTTGGACTAAAATCTGAATTTTTTGATTCTCAAATATAGTTTGTGTACATTTTAAGTTTATTTATTATTTTGATTAAGATATTAATGGGTACCTCAGATTTTATTGATTTTCTCAAAATGGTGGTTGAAAATTCAAGATTTAAGGATTCCATGACATGTATCTAAGGGAAAATGTGAAGAGAAGCACAAAGTAGCATTAAATGGTCGGTTTGACAATCGTGAATGGTTTTTAGCAGTAGCACGTTTATATCAGAAGAAATGAGTATGTGGCATGTTTTTCAAATGTTGGTTGTTGAGTTCAAACGTGCAATTGTAATGTAACGTGCAAGGTTTTTCACACTAGGTATGGGAATTGTCTAACCTATTATTGTTGTGATTAGTTGAGAGATTTGAGAAGAGATTTGGAAAGGGAAATAGAAAAGGTAGGTGAAATATGAATAAAATATATCTAAATTTCACTTAATTTTATACACATTTTTTCTTTTTTTTTTTCTAAATTTCTCCCTAAATCCTTCAACCAAACACATCATAAGTGACAAATGTATGGCTGTTGATGTTTATTTATTCGGAGTGAGTCGAGCAAAACTTAATTGAGTTGAATTATTAAGAATTAATTGAGTTCGTGTCAGAATCAAGTTCAAATCAAACATAAATAGTTTAATTTAAGATTAATTTGTTATACATTTGAAAATTTCAAACTTATCTTGAATCAATTTGATTATATAAACAAGTCGAGTTTTAAAAAAATAATACTTAAATTAATATGCACATTAAATTAAAAATTGATAATGTCTAGATTAGTATAGCTTCGGCATGATTTGATAGACTTGCAAGAGAAGTGGGTGAGTCTTCGGCAGATACTAGCGTGGTGAGGCAAAGTATCTCCGACGCCTAAGTTATTAGACTAAACTTAGAGATAAAATAGAAAAAGAACAATAGATTTTATGGATGATCCATCTTAAACTTCATTTCTCTTGATTTGCATAGAGAGTCTTTGTCATGGTTCATTAGTGGTGATAGTCGTCACATTCACTAGGCCTTAAACCATTTAGATTGAACTATTAAAATTCTGAGTTTTAACTAATTATGTATATATTAATAATTCTTCATTTTTAATTGATATTTTATCCGAGTAAAGAAAATCAAAGTTATCTACTGGATATGAAATCTTAACTTCTTAAATCGGCTTCCATAGGTCAAGCCAATTTTGGTCATGTGTATATCAAAAAATAAATAAAAATTACAAATAAAATATTTAAAAAATATTATATGATTAATAATTTTCATCAAATGATCATATTACTATGAGTAATTAATACTCATCATAAACCTAGGAACATACCTTTTTGTTAGGGAGTTCACAAGTGTACAATAATATCGGCCCAATCCATTAGAGAAAAATTCTGGAGTTCACGAATGTCATATCAAGACCTAACATATATTATTTAGAATTCATACCCACTTAAAAACCTAAACCTAAAAGTAGAGAGCACATCTAATATATATTAAAATCCATCTCTTTTTATTTTTTTTTTTATCTAATATGAGACTTTACCTTTACACATGCTCTAACAATCTTCCCTTCATGTGTGAACCAAATATCAGGTCTTACCTTGTTTCCCCTTGAGTTTTATCTATTATCAACAAGTTCATTATAGATCATATGCACTGTCCCTTAATCTTGATTTATAACTCTTCAACATCAAGTCTACTTGAGCGCACATACTCCATTGTGAGCTACTATACTCTATTGAGAGCCACATTGTCGTGGTCTAACCTTGCTAAGTGCACCAAGAATTTTATTTGCTCCATCAACAGTTATTATGGATTTTTCTTACTCCATCAAGAGTATGTATGTAAGCCCAAGTCCACCAACATCAATGGTTTAGGAGAATCCGATCATAGATTAATACTGGCCTAATTCATTAGGGTGAAAATTTAAAGTCCACAAATATTATATCAAGACTCAACATACATTATTTAAAATTCATGCCTATTTAAAAGTTTAAGCTTATTAGTAAAGAGTCCATCCAATATATATTATAACCTATCTCTTTTATTCTTTATTCAATATAAGAATCAACCTTCACACATGCTCCAATGTTCAAATACTTTTAACCACAATAAGTGACTTTCGGACCATGTTTGTACTCTTGGACCAAACAGTATTAAACATAAACAGGCGAACATAAAAGACAAGATAAATTGTTTATTCTGCCTAATATTAATTAATTATCATTATAGAAGATACAAGATGGCTATGACTTTTCTCATACATATATATATATAGGCACCTCGATTGGTAACAAATTAAACATGTAATTGTTTCATTGAAAAATGAATGTACCTTGAATTTGTATGGTTTGAATGTATCAAAACAATGTCGTTTTACCCTCAATATGACATCGTTTAAAATGACGTCGTTTTAAGACATTCGAGTCATTCGAACCGTGGAAATTTAGATTATCAAATATTATTGTTATTTGATTACCTAATTAAGAAAACTTCAAAACAAATCAAAATTAAAAATACTTGACTTTTTAAACCTCATTGATCCGCCATTTTTGAATGCTCTTTTATTTGTTTCTTTGTAATAAATTATAATAAATCTTTCGTGCAAAAAGCAAAAGCTAAATAAAAATAATAATAATTGTAAAAGCATTGCTTCCAATTAGGGGTGCTCAGCAGATACACTAATCCTGTTGGACAATCTTCACCGTATTTGATTACCTAATTAAGAAAACTTCAAAACAAATCAAAATTAAAAATACTTGACTTTTTAAACCTCATTGATCCGCCATTTTTGAATGCTCTTTTATTTGTTTCTTTGTAATAAATTATAATAAATCTTTCGTGCAAAAAGCAAAAGCTAAATAAAAAAAATAATAATTGTAAAAGCATTGCTTCCAATTAGGGGTGCTCAGCAGATACACTAATCCATCGCATTTTGGATGGATACGTGATGATGAGTGGACGGTTGCAAATTGATTTTTTTTCAATTCGCCTAGTCTTGGATGGATAGCAGATTTGAGATTCCTTTGGTCATAACCGAACCATCAAATCGTGAGTACCCCTAGTAATTTGTAAGATTTTATGTTTTCAATTTATTTAGATATTTTGTTTGTATTTTCAATTAAAAAAGAATTCAAATATTCTGTAAAATATATTCTGTTGAAAAAGATTTTTCAACTTGAATATATTTTTTGAATTGAAAAAAATAAATGTATTATTTATCTTTATTTTATGATTTTTAAATCTAACTCTAAAAATAATAAATAAAAAAGATGATATATACTAGTTGATTTTTGTTTTAAAAAACAGATATAGATGTAATAATACAAAGGCATACAATTTCTATTACTGCTCTGTTCATTGTTTTGATGATTTTATGTGGATGAGGCATATTGTGATTGTAATATGTAAATGAAACATGCGGTAATTTTAATATTCTAAAGTTTCAAATTTTCTTTCTTTGGATGAGACATGTAGTAATTGTAATATTTTTTTAAGTCATCGACGGTAATACTTTTTCTTTTTTTTTTTTAGAGGAAGTGCACAAGTTGAATTATGTTAAAAATTTATAAAATTTTAAATCACCAAACTGATTTGCATTTATTCGTTAATCTGTCAATTCGCTCAATCCACATCCGCTGAATTGACAGACGAATACAGATTAATTTTTTCTGATCTACTAATCTGACGGACAAATAACAAATTGAAAGTTCCGTGTCCGCCCACCCAACATGCAACGATAGCATTGTCATTTACAATTTTATCAAAAGTGAGTTATATATATTTTGGAACCCATTTTAGGCTTAACAAAATAATTTCATAAACAACCCCACCTCACTTGAATAATTGAGCAAGTTGGTAAAAAAAATCAGTGCTTTTATCATTTATTTATTCAAGCGAATATGAAATTCTTCTTTTGGTTTACAAGTTTTGAAACTATTGCAGCCAATAGTTAAGAAAAAATGAAAATAATTTTTGTAATCATATAAAATTTCAAAAAAATAAAATTAAATAATTCTTATTTTTCTAATATACAGTCAAATGTTAACAAATGTTTTTGGGCATTGTTTAATTTTAAAATTTAAAAAGTGCTTTGAAAATAATTAAAATAAAAATTTTAAAATTCAATAAAAAGTAGTATTCAGTATTTGATGAAAACTGTTTTCTTTTCTTTTATCTTGGATGCTCATAAATGCTTATCAAAAAAAAAAATCTTGGATGCTCATAAACACTTGTTGGTAAGATTTTAAAACTTTCATTGAGTTTTATTAAAACTAAATGGGCCAATTGATTCATATATTAATAGAACTTAATTAAAATTTTATAAAAGTCAAAAAGTATTTAAAATTTCCTTAAAATTATTATTTTATCAATATTTTTTAGATGTGATGGATAATACAAAATAATATACATAAACTACCCACAAGAAACATAAAATAAGGCCTTGTTTGGGGTGTACTAATAAGTACATATTTTTTACTTTTTATTTTTTTTTATTGTATCACTTCTTTATTTTTTTATACATTTTTTTATAAAAAATTAAAAAATACACTTATTTAGACAATAAATCACTAAATTTAAGGTAATTTTAGAATAGAAACTGTGGGTCAATTTCTATATTGGGAATCATATTCGGTAGACAAAGTATTTGCTGTTCAAGATTTACATTGACCAGTTTTTAATTCTTTGAATATTAATTTTGCACGTGACAATAATAATATTAATAATTATAACATAACTACTTTCGAGGGGCTGCGTAGTCGTCTGACATTTCCCTTGGCGGCATTTTATTGCGGCGCCCACACTAGGTTTTCATTGGATACAACTTTGTCAGATTTTGTCTTTCTTTTTAGGGCAAATTACATATACACCCCTTGAGGTTTGGCTAAATTACAGATGCCCCCTGAGGTTTGAGAAATTACGAATTCCCCCCTGAATGCTATATTTGCTTAAGAAATTAGGGGGTAATTTGTTATGAAATATAAACCTCAGGGGGCAAA